TACTACATAGTCTAGAACTATGACGGCCTAATCCACTGGTCGACAGTAGGTTTCTGTTCAAACTCAGATTCACTTTAGCGGAATCCGGCTGGCTTCATAGAGATAGAAATACCAGAAAGGTTGCTGATTATTCCTCCTAACCACAAAGGCCATACCGATGGAACGGCTACTATCTATCTTCGTCGGGATTTTTCATATAAGGTGGATTTTGGAACAGTCATGTGTTGTCAAACAATATTGAAAAGTCCATGCAATGTGATGAGATCATAGAGACTGCAAATATGCAAGAGGCGAATAGATATCATATAAGGTGCCCGCGGTAAGTCTGAATTTTCGGCTTGGATATCAACCTTCCCTTCGTCGACGGTTTCCAATCCTGTTTACTGACAGTCACTTTAAGTTTATCCTGAAGTTTTCTGAAGGCGGTAGACTTTGTGGGTTACTGAAATAGACACATTAACTTTAATAGAGAACTCTCGTTATGCTGAATGACCTTTCACGGCTACGCCCTCTCAAGACAAATGGCTAACTATGCGGTTGAGTCATGGTTACCGATCATGCTGGTGGTACACTAGAACCCAGTCTATGCAGTATGGGTAGTGATTACCTTGATAACACAGTTGTAAATACACGATATCCGAACAAAGAAAAAAGGTCTCTGCAAGGGTTGGAGACATGTTCTATGCACTGAGAAGATATATATCACTGACGCTTGCTCTCTGAATTCCTTTCTTCGTCTAATCTACGCTCAAATAATCAACAGGAAACTCAACCCATCAACTGTGTTCTTCTTACTAGCCGACCGACAGGGTCCAGACGTGTGCTGCGTTGGTCTTAAGACGAAAACACTCAGGAGGACGGACACTGCCTTAGATCTGGACAGCATTGCTATGGTCATGATCAGGTCTGAACTGGAGCGCACCTCATGCCAAGCGGTCTTTGGCCTGCGAGGCTGACATGCCAACCGGCTCAACTTCAATCGAAGTCGGGTCTTAACCGATTACAATGGAGAGTGATCGTCCATGTTTTCATGGACTTGCAACATGGAGCCGGTTGATTCAGTTAGTACTAATTTCAAAAAGGTAAGATTGAAAGTCCTAGAAGCCTTTCACTGCCCCGAACTCTTCACCTATTCTGACCGATAGTTCGAAAGGAAGGTGACCAACTTAACTGCAGAGGCAGTAATTCTTCAAACCACGGGAACGCGGCATGCTCCGTAACTGAGAAGTCCGGGGGTTCAGCAAAGACAAAAATGTAGATCGACACAGTAGCGAAAGAGTCCTCCTATGCGTACTACACACGACCTGCCCCCTGCGTAACATACTGAATTGTCACACAAAGCGGCCCGGATCTCACATGTATCATGTTATAGCTGCCGCATTAAAAAGACGCTATGGCGCCCGAATCTCAATTCACCAGTCACTCCATGTAAACACACTAGGCTGACGGTGCGGTTCTGATTACATAATCAGTTGCAAACGGAAGATGAGCTCGTAATACCTTCAAAAATGACTGGACCTCGATCTGACAATTTGGCCAACCATCAAATGGCACATGAAATGACGGTACTAAATTACAAATGCTGTCCATCATGCAACAAGACTTCACTCGTCGCTGTCGTCTTACGGAGCAGGGCAAATCATAACAATAATGGGACTTACCTGAACTTCTATCCAGTTGTCACGCTCTTCGCTCAGAACCTCCACAGTTGTGAGCGGTGTCTGCGGAATTAATTGATGTCTCGCAATCCAGGGATGTTGCATAACCTGCTCTATTGTCAACCGCCGTTCGGGTTCTACGATGAGAAGTCTCTGGATGAGGTCCTTGGCTGATGAAAAAAACAAAACCACAGCAACGTTGTGTCTTGTGAAGGGTGTGTCAAAAATAGAAAACTGCAAGGACTTAGCAGTGGTAAAGGGCCTGGGAGTTGTTTTTTCCACAGTTACGTCAGGACGCAAGGCGTTCTACCAGTCTGGGAGGACGTGAGGGGGAATGCCAAAGTCGACCGAATGTTGACTATCGCACGGCTGACTATACGCACGATTCTAATTCGGTCACGGAAACAGTGACAGTTGGGAAACAATTTATTGCTTTTTACTGTATAACGATTGGTTTGCTGAAGATTTTCAATCATACTTTGTTTCTCCTTATGCATTTACTTTATTCAAGCTAACCTAATGAACGGAAGCTTCAACTTTACAGGGAATATTAGTCAAAATAAACGTCCACAACTGCAGACTTTTATTGACATGTCAAACAATTGGGAGGAAAGTGCACGACCCGAAGGCCTATCGGGGATAATAGAGAACACGTTGCCATGGAAACAAAGAAACATGGGAATAAGCACGGCGAGCACTTAAACTGAGACAAGAAGGCTAGGAGACAAGACCAACTTTACCATTAAAACAGCAATTTCCAGGACGACGAATTCATGGATTAGAACACCTAAAGCGCTGTCGGATGGTTCAGCATGGCATATGTGAACTAAATGAGAGAATGCGCACGCCCGCAGTGTTTACGCAGCATGCTCGAGCACTCTGTCATGGTGTTACGTCACTCCTCACTATCATAACAACGAAATCGATGTGCTTATTCGGTGCGGCACTTCTCTCTCAAGTGTTCGCACAGTTGCGGTAAAAGGCAATAATCCGGTGGATTGCATCCTAATGTCAGAATAAACAATAAAGACACGCCTTCCCATGCATTCTAATAGCAGAATAAACAAAGACGCGCCTCCCCTAAATGTGCTGAGCAGCCCTAGTGAATTTTAACAGCAGGCCAAAGGAGGGGACCGGCGGACGGCTTACACTCTGTTTGGAGTTCTACAAACCCCTTCTTTATACTACAAAATGGGGGGCTAGACAGTTGAGTCCTAGGCCTTCGGCAGGCGTGGAAAGGAAGTCTTAAAAGGGCTATGCAAATTTGAGTTAGAATGAAACTGGAAACTGGTGCGGACGACACAGTGACTTAGAGACCAACTTTAAATACAGCTGAACAAAGAGCCAAATTAAAAGTTCAGAAGACTAGTTGGCGAGCATACGCGTGTTTCCGATAAATACTCATCGGGCTGCAAGTTACAACATTCGGCCAATAATGTTCGTCTTGTTATAAAATTGAGTCCTGAGAGCTGATGGGGGAAAAGGGTGATAAGAGACGACTGGTTGATCGACAGTGGGAGTTTGGTATAGTCGTTCCAGAGGTAAAGAGAAATTGTGCGGAAGTGTATGCTTTTAAGCGACCGTCGGTCATGCCAGGTGCGGAGGTTGCAGGAAGTACTTTTGCGTACCCAAGACCAGTTTCCTTAAGCTTATAGCGGTCGTCTCTGCTGTTGCTAGCAGACGCTGACCCAAGGTCTTGGGGTAGTTTGTTAGGACCTTATAAATCACCGGAGGACTCAGTTGGGACCCACATGATGTCCGGAATCAACGATTTGCGCGAGAACAGCACTGTGCATGCTCCTAACTTCGCCTTTTCTCGGCCATGCCGGGAGATGTTCCTTTATTCCTTTAAATAAGCGCCGAATTGTGCGACCACTATAATCTCTTCGAAAGGAGCAAGTAAATGAGTGGTTGCACATAGAGGTACTCTGAGCCGGCAGCCTATCCTTCCCTTCTGAGTGCAAAACCGGGATGGGAGAGAATAATACCAGAACTCTCATTGCTGGAAGGCTTGTGAGGGCATGGTTAAAACGTCTTCTCGTGTTTTAACTTTTATCCCGTTCCCATACAAATGTACTAGCCTGATGGGAATTTATCAAGGGCACGCATGTTTTTGAAATAGTCTTTGAACTCTTTTATGGGAAATTTCGGAAATCAAAGTATTAAATCTATAAATAAATTTTGAGGGACGGCCAGTGAAGGAAGTCCAGCTCTCGAAGGAGGTTCACGCCAAAGGAAGTAAGAAATCACCTTCAAGTGATTCTTAGTGTTCATAATTTGCACATTCATCCGAAAAACAAGGGGGTATCAATAATAAGCTTCGCTCGAGAATGTTTTTGGCGAAAGACGGCTCGAAAAACTGACAACTGACTCTGTAAGAGAACATTTGCCCAACGTGTAATAGGCTTAGGATGAGAGGCCTATCTACCAATGTGCAACGTTGACGGTAGTAATAGCCGAGAGAGCCCGTAAGAAAGCCATCCGACATAAAATTAGGAAGTCGGTTTGCCTGTCAACACGACGAACCTCAATTTTTTTACCAATATGTATCTCCTCGGGATTAATGGTCGTCTGCTGGAAGAAGATGGCCTCAGATATCTGGAGGTGAAGTTCATACCAAACGGATACAAGAAGCACGTTGAAGTATAAACAGACACTTCTCACAGGATTTTCGCAAAGTTTTGGTGTCTATGGATCCGTTGTCACCCCTTAGCACAATGCTCCGCCTATATAATGAATCAGTCCGATGCGTCTTCTGAAGTTAGGAACATAGGATTACGAAAAAACTGGAAGCTGATTACTGTTGTCTGAGAACAATCCATCCAATGAAGTATACTAAACTTATCCCGAGACAGTGCATGCTCACTGCGACGACGTCAAAAGGTCGTTTGGATCCGTCCTACGTGACCAACAATATCAATACGTAATGACACAAAGTCGATTCTTGGCCACCGGAAGTTGGAAATCAGCCATCCTGATCCTGAAGTTGGAAATCAGCCATCCTGAAATCAGCCATCCAGCCATCCTGATCCTGATCAGCCATCCTGGTCAAGT